GGCTGCTTTATTTCTTTATTAATATGAATGATTTAGTTAAATAATAGATGTATTCAGAACTTGATAAACTATTGCTTTCATAACTAAATTGTAATGTTGCATAAGAACTCTCACAAATAAAACTGTCCCTAATTTGCACCCTGAAAATGATTGGTTTATCCCTTCGTAGAGAATAGTTTCAGTGATGACCAGAGACAGTCGCTTACGTCTAATTACATACATTATTTTTATATTTTACTTTACTTATAATATTGGCGGTGGATGTTTCTATTTTCTGACCTCAACGAGTTTGACTGAAAATTAAATTTGTGCAAAATATCTCCTCGCTGCGTAGATATTCTTCCTTTTACATACAATGATAGGCCCATCAATTCCCAAGGATATATTAGAAAAGAGGAGGAAACAAAGCGATAAGAAAAACACCGAAAATGACAGTAGTGATGAAAGTGACGATGAGATTGTAGGACCACTGTTACCGGAGACCATTTACAACAAGAGCATTAATCTGGAACAAATAGCGGATAAGAAAGAAGAAAAGAAAGCTCAACATGACGACTCTAAGACTGTTGAAGCACAGACGCTTCATATGGAACAAAATAACCTATCGCAATACCCAATACGAGAAAGGCAAACTCTATTATCAAAGCACAGAGCCAAAAATACGGGTAAGAATAAGGTTACCAAATTTGACAGTAAGGAAAACCTCAATAGTGAGATAAGGAAAGAGATACTACGAAAGTTAGACCAAAACGGTGGCTTGGAAGGAAAATTCACTAGGGGTTCATAGATTTAATAATTAATGCATGCTATTTATATTGTAGTTTTACCGAAAACTTCATCAAGCTCGTTGATTTCTGCTTCCTGCTTAGTGTCTTTCTCTTGAATTTCTGCCTTGTTTGGCGTCATTATGCCCTCGAAAGAAAACCCAGGTGCAATCTTCAATTGCTGCAGCTTTGTCCAGTCTTTGAAACTTTGTATGTCTTCGCTTGTATTTAGTTCCGATATTTTAGTTTTCATTTCTTCAATTTCCTTAGTCCAATTCTGTAGCTCAGATTCTGTCAAGTTCAACTTTGGAGGTATTACAGAACTACTGAGCGTCGGTAGTAATTTATTATAGTTCGTATTCAATGTTATGGGCTTTGGTGGTTGGTATGACGGATTCTTAATTAATGGCACTTGTGCCAATATTGGATCGGCTATTGAGTTAGTATAAATTCAATCCTTGATGGTCATTTACACACATACGTTTTTCTGTATCTTCCATTATATACTGAATTTTAAAGTTAACTTTATACTTTTCTCTTAGGTTTCTTAAGTCTCACGTTAATTTTGCGCTCAGATAACCTACACGTAAATTCGTAATCAATTTTATCTTATGAAGTATATATAGTACAAATTACTCTTATTAATAGAGGTATAGATAGTTTATGATTTGATGACCCAATTAACAACGTACAGCCTTTGTATATGATGACATTAACTTAATTATCCTTAAAATGACGAATTAAAATGTAGGCATTTTCTTGTTTTAAGTTAGATAAAGAACGGTATCCACCTTCTAAACACATCAATAAACCACCGAAAGAAATATACACCGACATTTTATCATTATTTGAGTTCTCTTCAAATTTGTAAACAGTTCCGTACATAACATAATCGTAATCATCAGCAAGCGATCTATCATTGCTCTTTGGGGGTCTCCATGATCCATTGGAAGTCAACATAGATGATTCATTACCTAAGGATGATGCCAACATAATAGTTAATGAATCGTTATCTCTAACAGGAAATAATTCACTATTTATGTCCAAGGTAATTTTGATGTCTTGTGAGGTAGAAGATTGTCCTGTTATACGAGAAACTTTGTTGTATCTTGCAGAATCAACAGAATCGACATTGAACATGTCTTCAAATAAAATGCCTGACATTATATAGGGTTATATTAATAGATGTATGTACGAGATATCAGTATTGACTACTTGTTGAACAGTCCTTTTTGGATGAGATGAAGAAAAATTTCAGTATTAATCGATTTCCGGGATTTAAAACGTGACCAAGATCCATTTCCGGATGAACTTCAACCACGCAGTGTTACCCGACCAAATGACAACTGATACCACGGACTTTTACTACTGGAGGTTGTGAACAGAGGTCAAATCCTTACAACGCAAGTGTATGCAAAATAACCTTTGTAATCAGGATAAAGGTAAATAATAGAAAATTACCAAAATTAGATTTTATAGCCATTTATGAAAAAGACAAGTTTTTACATTTTAAGGAAGAAAAGATTGAAAACACTACAAACCTTGTAGCTTAAGTACAATGTCGGATACTGAAGAAAGTAGATACATTGAGAAAGAACTCAAGCAGGAAGTGTCAAAAAAGAAGGTTGTGCAACCTAAAAGCATTATTTCCAAAAAGACTGGACTTATAGTGAACTGCGTCTTCATCGTATCGGTTTTGATATTCTTTGCATTTTCAGTCTTTCAGAATAAAGACTCCAATATTTCATTACAATCACATCATGTTGACACGAATCAAGCAGCAAGTTACGAATATTCGGGCTTCATAAAGCACGAAGGAGAAAAGCTTGATATTACGCCAGAAATCAAATATAAAAGGGACTCCAAGTCGTCTAGTTCTAGCTCCAGTAAATCAGACAAAGCAACTAAGCCTCTCGATGAACCAGCAATACGGTTTTTACTTGTATTGGGTGGATTCATAGTTCTTAATATGGTTGCTATTTGCATCCATCATCTCTTTTTGAAAGCGACAAGATCAGAAAAGTCGTACAGAACAATAGAGCAGACTATCTCTCCATTTTAATGACATATACATCTATATATTTATCGTAAATAAAAAACAATTCAATAATTAAGAGGCAAGCTTATCATTAAAATTGTTATCGCGATTGGGATGCGCCAGTCGCCTTTAAGAACCAATGAATTCTCTTCTTAATTTTACGCCCAGGATACAGATTTTAATTAAGTTGGATATTATACACAAGTTCTTTAAAGAACATTTAGAATAAATATTTAGAAATAGCATCTACTAAGGTATTAGTGAGGAGGTTTTTAAAAATATGCCAATCGTTAAAACTCCGTCATTAGCAAAGCGAGTTCTTCAGATATGTTGTTCAATCGCTTGGTGTTTAGTTGCAGCAGGACCAGTATTCGGTTTTGCTGCTTTGAAGCCTATTTTAATTAGTGAGGGCGTCTACAGTGAAAGATGTAATGTGGAGAGTGTTAGAAATGATGCATTTGATTATTTGTCAGAGAAATTTGTGCTGTATGTTAATGTCGATAGTTTGAGTAAAGATTTGACTCCATGTGTCGATCAAGATTTATCCTTGAATTTGATGTTTACGTTAGCCGCCGTGGTCACAAATGTTGCTGCATTACCAGTTGGGTCAATTTTAGACGAATATGGACCACGGGTATGTGGTATGATTGGCTCATTCTTGATATTCTTAGCATCGTTAACATTAAAATTCGGCAAAGAATTATCAGAAAAGATTCCTTGGTTTGACGCTTATTTGATTGGGTATTCCGTTTTAGCTTTAGGTGGCCCGTTTGTATTTATATCATGTTTTCAATTAGCTAATAGCTTTCCTAAAAATTCGGGATTGGTATTAGCTCTTTTGACAGGTGCTTTTGATACATCACTGGCTTTGTTTTTGATTTACAGATTAATTTATACAAACATGTATAAATTGACCATAAATCAATTCTTCACCGCATACTTGATTATTCCTGTCTTTATTTTTATTTGCCAAGTAACTGTTATGCCAAAAGACTCCTACAAAACCGTGGGTACTTTGGCAAAAATAGGTGAAACTGCAATCGATGAAACTGGAAAACCTATTGACCGTGATTTACTCAAATCTCAAGATCGTGAAGATGGCGGCGACCAGCCAGCACAAAACTATGTACCTCAACCAACAATAAGCGAGACAACTTCCTTGTTAATTCGCAGATCATCCGTTGCCAGAAGAGATTCAGTGGTTCTGAGATTTTCATATGCATCCAGAAATTCAATAAAATCAGTTTATGAACAGGATGCAGAAGATAAGTTGATTGAATCATCAGGCGGTGTTTTCGGAATTTTACATGGCTACAATATTGCCGAACAATTAAAATCCTCTTGGTTTATTCTCATGACATTTTTCACTACAATCCAAATGCTTAGAATTAATTACTTTGTGGCAACTATTAAATCACAGGAATTATATTTATATAAGGGCAACGAAGACGTTGCAATCAGCATTAATCACTTTTTTGATTTGGCCTTACCTTTGGGAGGCTTAATATCGATACCATTTATCGGATTATTATTAGATAACTTAACTACATTATCAATATTGGAAATATTGACAGGTACATCTTTAGTTATTGGAATAATGGGTTTACTTTCTTGGTTGCCTGCAACATATTTTGGTATTATCTTACTAGTTGTATACAGACCATTCTACTATACTGCAGTATCTGATTTCTGTGCAAAAGTATTTGGATTTGATACTTTTGGAACAGTTTATGGTGCGATTATTTGCTTTTCTGGGATATGTAACATCTTGCAACAAGTGATGGACAAGGCAACCCACGAATATTTTAACATGAATCCGATTCCAATAAATGCATTGCTTACTTTTTTGACAGCTGTTTTCGGGGTTGCATTGATTGCTTTTGTCAAGGCTCAAGAAATGAACCTCAAACGAAAAGATTTGGAAATCGAAGCACAAGAGGCTTCATTAAGAGATGTTCCAAATTAATTAATATCGTATTTTGTATTATGCCATTCATATATATCTAAACAGACTTTATTGTTATTTAATATCTAATTTAATGCTTTTCTTAACTTTCTCTTCTTCTTCTCCTTCTCTGCAACCAAATCTGGATCTAGTGCTATCAACTCCGGAAGACTACTAATAACTGACGAATTATACCCAGAATTATATATTACGTGCTCTTTTAAGCGGGATTTTATATCTGAAATTTGCTGTGCATTAGCCACTTCAACATTCTTATCTATCTTAGCCATAGCCTTCAGTTCCTGCTCCTTTCCATATTTCTCGGGAAAATTGGACAATATCTCTTGCAATTTAGTGGGATTAACTGACATTCTCTATTTCTTTCCACTCTTTGCCTTCTCTTCTTTTCAAGTTGTCTTCTAGACCCTTTGATTAATTCTAAATGACCTACTCTACCAGCAATCAATCTCTCAGTTGAGTTCATCAAATGCCCTTGTTGGACCTTAGTTAACTTCGTAGCTTGCTTTGCAGGCGCTTTCTTTGGCTTGATAATCTTTGGTGTGGCTTTCTTAGGAGTCAACAGTTTCTTTACAACCTTCTTAGGGCCTTTAGCTTTTAATTTTAAGTTACCTTGAGCCATTTGGACGATTAATCTCTATATATATTTAATCTATGTACCATTATTATCTTATAAAAGTATTTGAAGCGCATCGCAGAAATCGTTCTGCACGACTATCCAAAAATTTTTCTAGGTGACTCCGATTAATTAATTATGCGACAATATAAATGAATCAATTGATGCTATCAAAAATTATTTTTGGTGGTTTGTTAGTTGCTAAGGTATTTCCAACCAATTGTGCTGTCTAGTCAAATAGTTATTCAAATCTTTTGAACGTACTAAAATGAGTAACGAAAAATATCTCATTTTACCAGGTCCAAAAGCCTTATCTCCTTTTAGGGTTAACAATTTAGTTCAAGAAATTGAAAAGAAGTTGAATAAGCCCTCAGTTGTTAAGGAGGTTGTTTCTTCGTATGTTCATTATATTTCATTGAAGGAAAAATTAAGCGACAAACAATTAGATTTAGTTGATGTCTTATTGCAATACGATACTCCGGTTGATCTTTCAGATAAGTTGACTCAGAAGTTAGTAGACATTTCTCGTATAAGCGGCGATGATGCGGACGCTCAAGAGAAGTTTGGATTAGAGAATGATACCTATATTATTAGAATATTACCAAGATCAGGTACTATTTCGCCATGGTCGTCAAAGGCTACCGATATTGCTAATATTTGTGGTTTGAAAGATAAAGTTGAAAGAATCGAACGTGGTTTGAATTTGCTTATTAAGGTTGAATCTGGCTTCCCATTATCGGATTACTTATCATCGGGCGAGATTTTGACTTCGGTTTTCGATAGAATGACTCAAGTTTTGTATTTGGGGGACCATTTCCCTAAATATGATGACTTGTTTGCTCATCATTCGCCTAAGCCATTAGTCGAAATTGATTTGATTGCAAGTACCGATAATTTGATCAAGGCTAACAAAGAAATGGGTTTAGCTTTGGATCAAGGTGAGCTTGAATACCTTACCAATGCGTTTACTGAAATTATTGGTAGAAACCCAACTGATGTTGAATTATTCATGTTTGCCCAGGTCAACTCTGAACATTGTCGTCACAAAATTTTCAATGCTGACTGGACAATTGATGGTGCTAAAAAAGATTTATCATTATTTAAAATGATTAGAAACACTCATGCCAAGAATCCCCAATATACCATTTCCGCTTATTCTGATAATGCTGCTGTTTTTGAAGGTCCAGAAGGTTATGTCTTTACTCCTGACTTTGAAACAAAGCAATGGAAATCCATTAAAGAAAAGGTTCACACATTAGTCAAAGTCGAAACCCATAATCATCCTACTGCTGTGTCTCCATTTGCTGGTGCTGCAACTGGATCTGGTGGTGAAATCAGAGATGAGGGTGCAGTCGGTCGTGGTTCAAAGTCGAAGGCTGGTTTAGCTGGGTTTTCGGTTTCAGATTTAAATATTCCAGATTTACCACAACCTTGGGAAAGAGATATAGGTAAGCCAAACCATATTGCTTCGTCCTTAGATATCATGATTGAAGCTCCAATCGGTTCAGCTGCATTCAACAATGAGTTTGGTAGACCAGCAATTAATGGTTACTTTAGAACATTGACCACTGAGGTTGAAAACTATAAAGGAGAAAACGAAATTAGAGGTTTTCACAAGCCTATTATGTTGGCAGGTGGTATGGGTGCTATTAGACCGGACTTGGCATTAAAGAATACCAAAATCACTCCAGGTGCTCAGTTAATTGTTCTTGGTGGTCAGTCTATGTTAATTGGTTTAGGTGGTGGTGCTGCTTCATCTATCTCATCTGGTGAAGGTTCTGCTGACTTGGATTTCGCTTCTGTTCAAAGAGGAAACCCTGAGATCCAAAGAAGGGCTCAACAAGTCATTGATGCTTGTGTATCTTTAGGAGGTAAAGGAAATCCAATTCAGTCTATTCATGATGTCGGTGCAGGTGGTTTATCTAATGCTTTGCCAGAATTGGTCCACGATAATGATTTGGGTGCTAAGTTCGAATTAAGATCAATTTTATCATTAGAACCAGGTATGTCTCCTATGGAAATTTGGTGTAATGAATCTCAAGAAAGATATGTTTTAGGTGTTGCACCTGAGAACTTAGACATGTTCAGCAAGATTTGTGAAAGAGAAAGAGCTCCATTTGCAGTAGTGGGTGAAGCAACTGAAGAACAAAGATTAATATTAACTGACTCTTTGTTAAAATCTACTCCAATCGACCTAGACATGTCAGTATTATTCGGTAAGGCACCTAAGATGTCGAGAACAGCTGTTACTCAACCATTGAATTTAAAGCCATTCGAAACAAGTGACTTGAAGTTAGAAGAATCCATTGAAAGAGTATTGCAATTACCATCAGTTGGTTCAAAGAATTTCTTAATTACTATTGGTGATAGATTTATTACTGGTTTGGTTGATCGTGATCAAATGGTTGGTCCATGGCAAACTCCTGTGGCTGATGTTGGTGTTACTGCAACCTCATTAGGTGAGACTGTTCTTTCAACAGGTGAAGCTTTATCTATGGGTGAAAAACCTACGTTGGCTTTGATTTCTGCTGCTGCATCCGCTAAAATGTGTGTAGCTGAATCATTGATGAATATTTTTGCTGCAGATATTCCTGCATTAGACAGAATTAAATTATCTGCTAATTGGATGTCCGCTGCATCTCATGATGGTGAAGGTGCTAAGTTATATGAAGCTGTCCAAGCTATTGGTTTAGATTTATGTCCAGACTTAGGTATTTCTATTCCAGTTGGTAAAGATTCTATGTCTATGAAGATGAAATGGGATGATAAGGAAGTTACTGCGCCATTAGCTTTAACAGTTACTGCTTTTGCTCCTGTCGACAATACTTCTAAGACTTGGACTCCACAATTGCAAAATACTGGAGAAGAAACCACTTTAGTCTTAGTTGATTTAGCAGCTAATATCAAAAAATCCTTAGGTGGTTCCGCGTTAGCCCAGGTTTACAAAAAGGTTGGTGATTCAGCACCAACTGTTCACTCGAATACGACTTTCAAATCGTTCTTACAGACATTAGTTGTCTTACATAAGCAATTCAATGTTTTGGCTTACCATGACAGATCAGAAGGTGGTTTAATTACTACTATTTTGGAAATGGGTTTCGCTGGAAGAACTGGTATTGATTTAGAAATTACTGGTGATGATTTGTTAACTGAATTATTCAATGAAGAATTAGGGGCTGTTTTCCAAATCGAAGCAAACGAATACGAACAATTTGTTAAGATATTTGAAACTAATGGTATTTCAAAGGATTTCATTTCAAATGTCGGTAAGCCTAATTTCCAATCTAAGGATCAAAAGGTCAGCATTAAGTTCAATAATGAGGCTGTTTATGAAAAATCTCGTAGTGAATTACAACAGTTATGGGCTAACACCTCTTACCACATTCAGAAATTAAGAGACAATCCAAAGACCACACAAGAGGAATACGATTCGATTAAAGATAACAGCGATCCTGGTTTGTCATATCAATTAACCTATAACGTCTCTGATGATTTGGGAGTTTCCAAATTAACTACCAAACCAAAGGTTGCTATCTTAAGAGAGCAAGGTGTTAACTCGCAACAAGAAATGGCATGGTGTTTCCAACAAGCCGGCTTTGATGTTGTTGACGTTCATATGTCGGATATTTTAAGTGGCAGAGTTACCTTAGATGATTTTGTTGGGTTAGCTGCATGTGGTGGTTTCTCATATGGTGACGTTTTGGGTGCCGGTGCTGGTTGGGCTAAATCTGTCTTGTTCAATGAAAGAGCACGTAACGAATTCAAAAAGTTCTTCCAAGATAGAGAGGATACTTTTGCATTCGGTGCCTGTAACGGGTGTCAATTCTTCGGTAGAATCGCTGAATTAATTCCTGGTACTGAAAACTGGCCAACCTTCGAAAAGAACTATTCAGAACAATACGAAGCTAGATTTGTCATGGTTGAAGTCACTGATGACTCAAGTAACTCTATTTTCTTGAATGGAATGAAGGGTTCCAAATTACCAATTGCTGTCGCCCACGGTGAAGGTAGAGCATCCTTCAAGTCTGACGACCTGAAACAACAATTCATCAATAATGGTTTGACTTCAGTGAGATACGTTGACAATTACGGAAATGTAGCTAAAAGCTATCCTTTCAATCCAAATGGTTCTCCAGAAGGTATTGCCGGTATTTCCTCGCCAAATGGTAGAGTGTTAGCCATGATGCCTCACCCAGAGAGAGTTTGCAGAAAGGAAAGTAACTCTTGGTATCCATCAGAACAAGGTGAAGAATGGGGTAGTTATGGTCCTTGGATCAGATTGTTCAGATCTGCCAGAAAGTGGGTTGGTGACAACCATTGATTTGTGTATATTAAAATATTAAAATATTAATTCCATAGAAAATTGTTTAATAAAATACGTAGCATTTATGAAATACATAACGTAGGTTCGTCATATCTTTATAGAGAATCAGTAGACCATACATTTCTTTGAACTGTACTAGATATCGCAGCTTGTCTTAATGAGGGACGATTATGTAATATAATCAAAATATTATATAAACAAGAATTTATTCAAAAAATTCAAAGGTCGTGTGTTAGACCAAACAATTTTTTTTTTGTTCTCTAGGACGAGGACGAAAAATTTTTCACATATTAGAGGTGAAAAATATACATAGAGTTCTTTTTGTTCTTATAAAAAATCATAAATACAACAAAATGGTTAACGCAATCTTATCCAAGAAGAGAAAGTTAGTGGCTGATGGTGTCTTCTACGCCGAATTAAACGAATTCTTTACCAGAGAATTAGCTGAACAAGGTTACGCTGGTGTTGAAGTCAGAAAGACCCCAACCAAATTAGAAGTTATTGTTAAGGCTTCTAACACCCAAGGTGTTTTAGGTGAACAAGGTAGAAGAATCCACGAATTAACCTCTTTAATCTGTAAGAGATTCAAGATCTCTCAAGAAGGTATCGTTATCTACGCTGAAAGAGTCGAAGAAAGAGGTTTATCTGCTGCTGTCCAAGCCGAAGCCTTAAAGTCTAAGTTATTAAACGGTTTACCATTGAGAAGAGCCGCTTACGGTGTTTTAAGATTCGCTATGGGTGCTGGTGCCAAGGGTGTTGAAGTTGTCATTTCTGGTAAATTAAGAGCTGCCAGAGCTAAGTCCCAAAAATACGCTGACGGTTTCATGATCCACTCCGGTCAACCAACCAAGGACTTCATTGATATTGCTATCAGACACGTTTTAATGAGACAAGGTGTCTTAGGTATTAAGGTCAAGATTATGAAGGACCCAGCTACCAACAAATTCGGTCCAAGATCCTTACCAGATGCTGTTAAGATTTCTGAAGCTAAGGACGATGACGAAATTGTCCCAGCTCCAACTGTTAAGTCTTACAAGGCTACTGCTGAAGAACCAGTTGAAGCTTCCGCTTAATTTAATTAAGTAATGTATATTTCAATATAACTCATTATTTATATACACTCCTGTAGATATGTCGTGCAATGTCTTTATTTGGTAGACAATGTCGTGCGAGAAACTTTCCGTCAACCGAGATTTGACTGTCCACTTGACTTGAGAAACGTCATATAAAGTGATGACTCCTCGGTTAAACGGGGATATTTCTTATCGGCGAGAAGGCTCGGAAAAACTCCGACTCCGTCATCACCGGCAATTAAACTCCACATAATTACAAATCATCCACTATAAATACTGGCAAAAATTCTCTACGAAATGTATTTTCCTATAATTTTCTTCTTAACAATAAAATAAAACAACTAAAACATAATGAACGGCCAACAAAACTTTTTACCATTATCTACAGACATTTCTGAACCATTTATTATCCCAAACGTTTCTCCAATTTCTATAGTGAGAGCAGAAACACCAAAACCACTTGCTAAGAACCAACTTTGAGGGTTGACCCCAGATAAGATTGGAATCATAGTAGAGATATTAAATTCTGATTGAAATATTCGTTTACTTCTAGCCTAAGCTATCAATGGATTCACATCTGTCTAAAAATGTTTACTTTATAACATTGATGAGAACTCCATTGGTCATTTACGAGTTTGTTATGATTTAAGGTTGAACCCCCTAGGCGGGTCTGCAGCATATATAGTGTATTATTTATAGTGAATAAAAAAGTTATAAAAAATATTCTGTCTGTAGTGGATTACACTATTGGATTGGTGTGTGGGTTTAGTTGGTGAACGTAAACTCGGATACTTTACACAAAAACACAAGATTCTCCGATTACCAGCTTCCCCTATTAGTCTAGTACACTTTGGTAGTCTGATCCGTCGCCCTATCTAGTGATGATATTAATTGCCCGTCTTAATGCACATTGCTCATCTTATGAGTATAATCAACGGGCCTACTCATGTAGTATCACGGAGAGATGATCGATTAATTTGTTTCACTTAACAGAAGCCTACAATAGCATTTTATTTCTTGATGTGTAGTACATTTCGTTATTCATATTATTGATATATAGGGATACATATAAGTTATAGCATATTTACAAAAAGATAACTTTAAGCGTCCAAGAGTTTAGTTATATTTTACTTAGTAAAATTCGTTATACTTCTTAGTATAGTACCCAGTGGACAAGCCACCCAAGACTAACAACACCAATGGAAGTGGCTTCTTGAATTTAGTAGGAATAGCCCTGCCCAAACCGGAAACCAATAATGTTGTCGAAGTACCTAAAGCAATTTCTAACCCGTAGTCAGCATTTTGCTTTAATAAGTATCCTGCTGTTCCGTACAAAATAGAAATAGTACCACCTGCAATTAATGAAGGTAAAGATCCTTTACGGACATATCCCATAATGCCCCCTACGGCACATAATCCTGACAAAGTGAATGCTGGATGTTCCATCTTATATTGCTCAGTTTTACTATCTAAAATGTTTAAAAACAATGAAAGAAAGTAAAGTTTCATCTGTAGTGCCATACTTTTTGTTGAGGGAGGTAGAAACCCTCAACCGGTAAACGACCGGAAATTCGTATAATTACCACTATTAAATCTAAAATATAGGTCGGTAATTGACCGGATGTCTCAATTAACTTGCTTTTACGCGGTTTAAAAGTTTTCAAACACCAAGCATTATTACTGGATGAATGGGTCCTCTGATGGGAAAGCACTTTTATGAAGAAATACTAGCTACAAAGAATAATGCTTTCATTACTGTAATATCTCTATCGAGCTAACATGTAGATACTGTATGATATATAATTTATTGTAAAAATTACCTTTACTTATATTCAGATCTTACTAGGTGTGAAATTTTAACAAACGGCCACTATATTAAAATAATAATGAGCGTTTAATAAATGGATAAAAGACGGGAAAAAATTTATTGCTATTGAGCTCCAAGAAGCTAATTAGGCAACAAGTTATTCCATCAATCAATTGTTTAGTGAAAGTGAATTTGATATTGAATACATAGCTAGTATGAATATTTCTTCTATGCTATCGAACGATAGTACCACGCCTTCCTTGGACGCTGACAGAAACTTTACAGGTAGTCAGACGAATAAGGATTTAGGAGGCACTCAAGATACGATAAACAAAGAAATAGACACTGGTGAAGTAGAAGACCACGCTAATGGAAATGCTGATGTTGGCGGGAATGGTATTGGAAATCATAGATCGACCACAAATGGTAATAACAAAGTTACTGATGATTTGGTTCGAAATGTTAATATTGTTGAATCTATTATACCGAAACCAATCAGACCGTCACGTTCGAGTATAGAGTCGGACGAAGAAGATGTTGGTAAGAACTACAATAGCATAATTTCCGATGACTTGGATCATATATCCCAAAGGTACTTGGAAAAGTTTGAAGAGAAGGTAAATGCAATTAATAAAATAGATCAAGTTTTAATAAGTGGCAACAATATGAAAGTATTAAATCAAGAAGAAGAAAACTTGAATACTCTTATGAAGAAATCAAGCGAAATCGCCGAAAATTATATTGATAGAGTGGTCACCGAAGATATTTCATCAAAGGCAAATGTCTTGAATGGCAAAGAGTCCATTGGCAAAGAATTCAAATGGGGATCTACTAGAGATACGAAAAAGCGTGAACTAGAATTAGAAGTTGAAAATGCCAGTAAAGCTGATACAGCAGCAAAGAAAGGTGGAAATAAATCGAAACAAGGTACGGCAAAGTCTACTCCTGCTAAGAAAACAAAAGCTAAACCAAAAAGAAAGCAGCTGGCAACTGATGAAACAGCAGAAGAGAGTCAACTCGGCAAGAAAAGAAAGACTCGCGCAGGTTCAGTCTCTGGTGCTGCTCAAAACGACGACAAGCTGGCTAATGGTAAAGTTAAGTTAAAGTTAACTTTGAAAGACCAAGCAGAGGAGGACTCAGCTAATCCAGACACAGCATCAAAAATAACAACGAAAGAACAGAAGATTATTACCAAACAATATGATAACACTTTTGTTTCTATTTGGAAGGACTTATCTAGAAAAGATGGTCCTAAAGTAAGTAGGTTGATGCAACAATCGACTCAAGCGAAGATGATTAATCTTAAAAAGACATCTATTTTGGCGGCCAGAGAAGCTAAGAGATGGCAATTGAAGAATAATAGAAATCAAAAAGATTTAACTACGAAAGCCAGACGTGCAATGAGAGAAATGTTCAACTTCTGGAAGAGAAATGAAAGAATAGAGAGAGAATTGCGTAAAAAACACGAAAAGGAATTACTTGATAAGGCTAAAAAAGAAGAAGAAGAAAGGGAATCTAAGAGGCAGTCGAGAAAATTAAATTTCCTTATTACGCAAACAGAGTTATATTCGCATTTCATCGGTAAGAAGATCAAGACTGATGAGTTCGAAGGCAATGATTCCGATCCTAATGTTAACTTTAAGTCTTCCAGTCATCATTATGATAAGTATTCTAATATAGATGGAGAAAGTAAAGATTTCAATTCCATTGATTTTGATAACGAAGATGAAGAATCCTTGAATAAAGCAGCTGCTGTCAATGCACAAATTGCATTGGAAGCGGCCAAGACGAAAGCTCAAGCTTTTGATAATGATCCTCTTAAAAATCCAGATACTAATGGCGAAGAAATGAACTTCCAAAACCCTACTTTATTAGGAGACATAAATATTTCTCAACCTGATTTATTGAAATGTACTTTGAAAGAATACCAAGTAAAGGGTTTGAATTGGTTGGCTAATCTATATGAGCAAGGTATTAATGGTATTTTGGCAGATGAAATGGGTCTAGGTAAGACTGTTCAGAGTATCTCTGTTTTAGCCTATTTAGCGGAAACCCATAATATATGGGGACCATTTTTGGTCGTCACACCAGCATCAACATTACATAACTGGCAACAGGAAATAAGTAGGTTTGTTCCTGAATTTAAGGTTATTCCATATTGGGGCAATGCGAAGGATCGTAAAGTGTTAAGAAAATTCTGGGATCGTAAGAACTTTAGATACGGGAAGGACGCTCCATTTCATGTTTTGGTTACGTCCTATCAATTGGTCGTTGCAGATGCTGCATATTTTCAAAAGATGAAATGGCAATATATGATTCTAGATGAAGCACAGGCTATCAAGTCATCTCAGTCCTCTAGATGGAAATCATTACTTTCTTTTTCATGCCGTAATAGATTATTATTAACTGGTACCCCAATTCAAAATTCTATGCAAGAATTATGGGCCTTATTACATTTCATTATGCCCTCATTATTTGACTCCCATGATGAGTTTAGCGATTGGTTCTCAAAGGATATTGAAAGCCATGCACAGTCTAATACTGAATTGAACGAACAGCAGTTACGGAGATTACATGTCATCTTGAAACCATTTATGTTAAGGCGTATTAAGAAGAATGTTCAAAGTGAATTAGGCGATAAACTTGAAATAGATGTGTTCTGCGACTTGACTCATAGACAGAAAAAGTACTATCAAATGTTGACCTCTCAAATATCAATTATGGATTTATTGGATTCTGCAAATAATAGCAGTGACGACAGTGCCCAATCATTAATGAATTTAGTCATGCAATTTAGAAAAGTTTGCAATCACCCAGACTTATTTGAAAGAGCTGATGTTAAATCCAGTTTTGCTTTCAGTAGATTTGCTGAAACAAGCTCTTTTTTGAGAGAGACAAATGAATTGGAAATGTTTTACAGTACAGAAAATCTAATCAAGTATAATATTCCAAGGATGGTCTACGAGGAAATTTTGCAACCAACATTTGATAATGATGTTGGATCTCGTAAAAAAATCTTGAATAATATGTTCAATATATACGATCCTTCAAATGTTGCTAATGATGAATTGGAAAACTTTAGTTGGTTAAAATTCGTTGATAAATCTCCACAAGAAGTCAATAATTTATCGAAACAAAATATAATTGAAAGAGCTATTAACAATAGAGAGTATTCTGATATAAACTATGAGAGAATAAACAGATTGAAGTATGTCTATGATGAGGATGATGAATGTTTCATCCCTAATTCAAAATTATTATTGATAAACGAGTTGCAGAACAATCATGCGTTAATAAGCAACTCTACGCATTTGAAAGAATTATATTCAATTAAGAACAAAGTATATAACGATATGGTTATTAACAATATGAAACCAGCTGCTGAACCTTTAGTAAAGGCCCCACCAGTTGATGTTGTTTGTAATAGTATTTCCTTTGTGCATAATCTTCAAGCGTCGCTCTTTGATTCTAATATAAGGCAAAGTTTAATGCCATTGTCATTCAATCAAGAATTAGAGCTACTTAAGAGTAACTCTCCAATAACTGAATATCCAAAATCAAATATGCTTCCGAATACAATCAATAAGTTTATTGATTATTCGAATATAAGAATGCCATCGATGAATAGATTCATCACAGAATCAGGTAAATTATCAAAGTTAGATGAATTACTCGTTGACTTAAAACATAATGATCATAGAGTTTTAATTTATTTTCAAATGACAAAGATGATGGATTTGATGGAAGAATATTTGACATATAGACAGCATAAGTATATTAGATTGGATGGTTCATCCAAGTTGGACGACCGCCGTGATCTCGTGCATGATTGGCAAACAAAACCAGAAATTTTTGTATTCTTGTTATCAACGAGAGCTGGTGGGCTAGGTATTAACTTGACCGCAGCTGACACTGTTATCTTTTATGATTCAGACTGGAATCCTACTATCGATTCCCAAGCTATGGATCGTGCTCATAGATTAGGTCAGACCCGTCAAGTGACAGTTTATAGATTATTGACAAGAGGTACAATTGAAGAAAGAATGAGAGATAGAGCTAAGCAAAAAGAACAAGTTCAACAAGTCGTTATGGAAGGAAAATCCGCAATAGCGAATAAGGAAGAATCTGGTAATAAGAAAAAAGATGTCGCGTTCTTGTTATTAGGTGATGAAGAGTCATCTGCAGCGGTAGCTTTGAACGATGATAGTGAAGGGAAACAAGATTTGCTGGATTCTAAAAAATCACAAACTAAGAATCTTGAAGATATGTATCACGAAGGAGAAGGTGAATTTTCTGGTAATGTTACACCGGCTCTTTAATGTGTCCTTTTTATATGTACATAAGTCCTTTTATCTACGGTGACATGTAAAGTAATAAATAAATGTAAAAATTTCTATGTATCTACTTTTGCACTCAAAGAATTCTCTAGTTCACTCAAAAATGCTTTATTATTTTGGTTTCCATTGTTGAACGTATCATTGGTTTTAGTAATAGTATTAGTATTGATATTAGTGTTAGAATTAAGATCATTTGTATTGTCGCTTAATGTATTATCAACCAGTGATTTTAATTTCAAGCTTTCATTCTCATGTTCTAAATTATAAATTCTGTTAAAGCTTTCTTCTAATTTTAATTTTAAATCTTCCTTAGAGAGACTCTGCTTTTCTGCTCCAGCTCCATCATCGATGCTTTCATCATGGTCATCGTCATAAGTCGTGATTTGAGTTGAACTTAATAACTCCGATAATCCACTAATATTTGAGTTCATTGAATTTAGAGAATACCTGTTATTAGAGGAGCGTTTGAGCGTATTAAGGAGCCTTTTATGGCTCAAGTTATTTGATAGAGAATCTAGCGCTGCTTGGTTAAATGTTTCGTTGTAATTGGCGGATGGAAGCATGTTCATGTAGTTGTCATCATAACAAACTGGTCCATTCATCTTATCATTAGTATTTCCATTACCCTGTATTGAGGGGGGGTTTAAATCAGACGAGAACCTACTGTTGGCCGTTCTGGCTTTATGGCCCGGCTCTTCAAATACTGTTAATAAGCCTAATTGAAGACCAGTAGATAATCGTTTGTATTGTGTATCTGGTCCATTAGCCTTACTATTTGATGATCGAGAAGGCAAATTCGAATCAGAATATGTTGATTGTTGTATAGTTGGACTGGGAATAGAAGATAGTGACTGATTCATCGGCAAAGAGAACCTCTTCTTAGCGGAATTAGAATTGACGGTATGAAAAGATTTCAAATTAAATTCTCCATTAGAATTAGAGTTTCTCTTGGAAGAAGATACAGACGATCTTGGTGAACTTTTCATTGATGATAAGTCATTTGATTTAATATAAAATTCGTTGTTTAATTCACCAAAGTTTACTTGGTATAGTTCTTTAATTGAATTCAATTCATCACCGAACTGTTTGAATATCATTAGCTTTTCATTCATTTCGTCAATATTAGTTATAGATGATATTGATTGATTATATTTCTTGAAATACGTTAAATTTGTAGTAATATTAGTTAGTTTGTTAATCAAATTATTCATATTAGTATCAGTGATAGATTCAAAAGCTGAATAGCGAGTCTGATTGCTTATCTCCAATACATCTTTATTGCTGATATCATCTTGCCTTGTCTCAACTTTATTTATTTTTTCAAATTTTTCAAATATCAAGTTAAAGTTTTTCAAAATACTTGTATGCTCATCAAATAATTCTTCAATCACTAATAATTTTTCGAAAAACAGGAACTCATTTTGCAAGACTTCGTCGATTTCGTATTCAGTTATGTTAAATTGATCCCAGACTTGAAATAGATAAAAGCTTCTAACAGGTGATTCATTTACAGTTAGTAATTGGCAAACTAAAAACTTTCTCAATTGATTGAATTTGTTAAGTTTAAAGGTCAACTCATCAATAGTTACCTTCTCGCTTGAATTATTAATTTCGATTGTTCTGTCAGCCTTGTACTTCGAATTCAATGTACACACATTAATATTATTTATGTTGCAGTACTTTTCAAACATAGGACCATTCAAGAAAGGTAATAATTTAATAATTGAACTCTTCAAATTAAAATTTAAAAAATCTAACGTATTATCAAGATTCTCTTTTAGGTCAACTACTTTGTTCTTTGATATTTTCGAATTTTTCATAAATCCAAACATTTCCATTTCTTTTAGATTAATTAAATTCATTATCAATTTTTTGTTGACTTTGTAATTATTCACTAAGAATCCATTCAACATATTTAATACCTTTGTAGACTGAATTTTCAAATTGATTCTTTTGAATTGTACGATTTTCACGGAAATAATAAGTAAAATTTTGAACATCTTGACCTTGTTCTGTGCCGAAATTTTTGAATTCACGCCTTTCAAGGATTGCTTTAGAAGGAATATTATCATATAAATTGTTTGAATAAGCATTTCGGAATTATATAGCTTATCTGAAAACTTCAATTGATATTGCTTGTTTAGAATATATAATTCAGTGCCATCAAAATTTAACGATTTCACGAATTTTTTGGGGTTATCATTGGGATTATTAATGCTGCATTGTAAATTATTTAGTGATTGTTCATTTTTGGATAGTATCATCGAATCGTCTAATAAACTTGATACTATTAGATTGTATTTAAACTTTTCCCAAAATTCATTCTGAATATTATTTAATGACAAGTACTTTTTTATAAACTTTCGAAAATTCTCAGTGGATGGACTTACTCTGTGCATGTTATTTATCATATAATAATACATGAAATCAGCTTCAGCGGGTTTTTCTTTCATATGATCTATATTCTCATTAAGTAAATTAGGTGATGCTAATTCATGTATGCTTCGGCCATTTTGAAAAGGCTGACTAAAGTTGTGATTTGACAATGATGGCGACGACGTAGCTTCTTCGATACCCCAATCGCTTACCTCTATTCCATTATTAGAGAAGTAGTTTGATAGAGGATTAAATCTATCAAAGTTCATACTATTGAATCATCTAATGGACGAACGTAATTTAGTAGGTAATAAATTCTTGTATAAAAAGAAAACGAATTCTGATGATAATTATAACCTTGTTGACGCTTAGACTAAAGTGAGAAGGTATCTTTTAGTATGGTTTAGTTTAATCTAATTAACTTTTATTTACGTTTGTTTTGATTCCCCAAATGAGCATGCACTCCGTATATTATATGCAGTATATCCGTTTTTTGATGGAACCATAAACGGTTTCTATGTAAGTTTGAAAGTATATACATCATGAAGTGATTCAATCTGACAAGAATGTGTCATGTTGATCATTTTTATTAGGGGGCAAGTTAGTTGAAAAATATACTTATAAAAATAATTTTTAAAATTACCAATATACATATGAATTAAGGGCCGAGGTCATATTTGTCAAATCGATACATTCTACCCTCATAATGAATACATATTATCATGTGGTGAGAGTAAATTCATGTCCCGATTTGGAAAAGAGAGAATTGTCATAATCGAGCTATACTTTGCACCTATATAGCACCTGCAAACGACTAGACAAGAATCAATATGAGATTTCATTCTAGTAATATTCGAAATATCTATTTTTCACAAAGCTTAGTGGTTATGCTTCCATGAAGAATATTCATTGTTATTTTGAGTTGGAACAACTCAATCGAATGGTTTGCTTCTCCTACACCTATCTTCACAAGCAGTAGAATATTACTATAAGCAGGATAGTATGTTGACATAAATATAAAGAGTGAATAAATGTCTTGTACTTAAATGAACCCTGGGCCTGCACCCATCCCACTTAGCCAGTCATCATCTATTGACAAATCATTATTAAAAGATGTGGAATTTAAAATAGCTGAAGCGTTTATATCTAAATTACCCAGCATCGCTTGCTGTTGTTGAATGTACTTTAATCGTTCCTGTTGTAATTGATACTGCAAGTTAAATTGATTTCTCTGTTGTGCTGTCAAATTAGGATCATCGTTAGTGGCTTCTATAGAATTATTTTGAGCAGAATTGGGTTTTATATCACTAATCGTGTTCTTTGTATTATTGTTAGCCGTCTGATAAGCATCAACACCCTTATTTTGCTGCTGCATCATTAACAATTGCTGTTGTAAATGTTGCTGTTGTTGTTGTTGCAAAAGTGATTGTTGCTGTGGTTGTAGAGGACGTTGCGAAACTAACAGAGTATTTGCATTTAAATCTTTTGTTTTGGCTTCCATTTGATTAGCCTGTATTGGTTGCAGTTGGTGTGGCAGCTGGCTTGATTGCTGGTGCGGCAGCTGTTGTTGTCTCTGTTGCTTCATTAGCATGAACTGTCTCTTTTGAATATTATTTTGATTCTCCATCATTAACAAATTCAATTGATAGTCATTAATGGCGTCATTATTTACGGTCTTATGCTGTACTTGACCTGATTGAGAAGGTTGCAATTCCTGAGCTTGCGGTAAAGGTCTTTGCTGATGTTGCTGTGGCATTTGATTTTGAAGTTGCATTTGAGGCTGCTGTGGTTGACCGTTTACCATTAGCGGTGATTGCAAATGTTGCTGTTGTTGTACTTGTTGTGCTTGTTGTGCTTGTTGTGCTTGTTGTGCTTGTAGTGCTTGTTGTGCTTGTTGTATTTGTCCTTGGTGTGCTTGATGTGCTTGTTGTGTTTGTTGTGTTTGTTGTCCTTGATGTGCTTGTTGTTGTTGAAACTGAAGCCTCATTTGCTGTAGTTTCAATTGTTGTTGATATTGAGCCATGTTCATATTTAACCCCTGCCTTACCGTAGGAGGTGGCATTGGATTTTTCTTCATATTAGGGTTAGCTTGGTTCAATGTCTGGTTCATATTCGGATTAGCAGTCGCCTGCATGGTCCAGAGAGACGACCACCATTCTAATAGAAATGTGTCTGAGTGATCTAAGGACATCTTGTAATCAATATTATCGTAGTTTTCATTCGTCGATAACCCGTTGGTAGGAACATCACCCTCAATCAATAGCGATTTTGCTGACTCCTCCATGCCATTAGCTCTTAAATATTCATACAAGTATGCTAGTAATAGCTGGCGAGAATCCTTAGCAAAGTCATCACTTACCATATGTTTGCTAGCCCCTTTATGAGGTATGTTTTTCCGTTCGTCCTTTGTTGAAGCTTTCCGAACATTTTGTCCATTCGTGTTCTGATAGGGCAGTTGCTGTTGTTGCTGTTGCTTCTTCTGCTGTTGTTGCATGTAATTCTGGTGTGATGCTGTGTTTGATGTATTAGCGAGTGGAGACAAATTAAACTCCATGCTACTGTGCTGTACAATTTAAATTATACACTTTTTCAGCCTGCTTCAATATATGTGGATGGTGCTATAAATAAATACCTGAGACTTTCAAATGAAATATAATTGCCTTATAAAATAAGAATTTAAACTAAACGCTTTCCTTTAATAAATATTTTTCTGGCCCTTAAGAATGTAACAATAGTGTCAAACTCCGTTATAGTACCTTAGCTACTTTTATATTATCAATGGTATTATCAATTGAAATATCAATTTTCTCGACCCCTATATTAAATTCCTTTTAGATATCACCAACCTTTTCAATGGATTGTAAAAAAGTGTTGATGCGGAGGATGTGAGATTATCGAAGTTTTTCCAATATTCTATGTACAGGATGTATACAGTATATATGATCTTTCTCCAATAATTTTAAGGGTTTAAACACTGTCAGTAGAAGCTACTACTTAGTTTATATTGTAATGTGAGCCAAGATGTGTAAATATTTTTCACCTGTTATGTCTTTTTTTTCTTTTGCTTAACGAATTTCATCGTTTCCCCAACGTGAGAACACGCCTTAGGCACAATCCAAACTTATGCTTCAGATATACTTAATTTGGAATGTAGCATGTACTATGTATATACTGGCGATTATTTAGTTTATGTCTACAAATGAAGAACAGAAGACGGTTCTTGTAGAACGTTAAGTACGGATAAAATATAGTGACAAGTTAATGTTAATGAAAGATCTCCTGAGTGATGAGAAAGATAAGCAACAGATTGGTGTATCTTGACGAGATGCCCGAATTATAAATAACAGGCTTATTATTAACAAGAGTTAGGTTGTTTTAGTGGCATTTAAGCGAAGATTGTGGAGGAGGGGACCAATTTGGAAAGTCGCATTAATTTTTTTGAGGAGACATAAACAGGTTTAGTTCAAAATGCAATGAACTTAAAAAGCATTAGGGGATCAAGCTTACAGTTCCTAGTACATGATTCAGTAATAAATGGGTGTCCTTCGATACCCCTAACGCTACACCAATTTTTCAATAGGTTAACACCCAATTCACATATCAACATCAGTCAGGATTTGATCAGCAAAGCTTACAATGAGAAGATTTATCGTCACCTAAAACAACAATATTTTCAATCTAGAAAGAAAGAATTAGGTGGAATTCCTTTGTTTACCCCATATTTAACTACAGCACGCTTCAAAGATTTAGTGACAGATATATATTCACCATTCGTGCCCCAAATAGCAAATCATCGCTTATTTAGCAGTAATTCTAAAAGTTTATTCACCTATTTGGTGAAGTACTATAATCATTGTGCTCAACAAGGATTTCGTCAAAATGAATTGCAGAAAATATTTCAATTGATGCGTAATTATTCTGGCCTTGTTTCAATTGGTGTACTTATGAATGCAGAATGGTTGAATTTTAATATAGACATGGCAGACATTCAATATACCTACTTATTTGATTTGAAAAAGCCTGAGTCGCTTAATTTGTCACATTTCCAAGATTATAGATCGTTTGAGAATATTTACAGTCTAGAGTATCAATGTAAGATGAATAACTTGTTAATAAGTGAGTTTTGTAATACCTTGATGAAAAATCGGTCTGTCAAAGAAACGAAGTATATTATAACAGGTGAAAGTTGCAGAAATTTACAGATCCCGGGATATAAGCATATTCAAATTTTAAATGGCAAGTCTAATGTAGATGATTTGTTAGCTAAGTACATTCTTAGCTTAGATAATTTTGAGATTCAGCTTAGTACTTTGTTGGATATCTATCAAAGCATATCACTGAAAGATGTTATTAGGGTGAATAGTTTAGAAGAATTATTTTTACTTTTGAAGGTCTTAACTTCGATGATGAAAGCTAATTAGTTTGAGTATCTGCAAGTTTTGAAATGCTAGCCAAAATAATTATAATAATAATTGTAAAACATAGCCGTCATCTCATACTTACGCATACAAGTGGTTGCATTTTAATATATTGTAAGTTTATTTATGCTATTTAATTTATATTTTCCTTACCTATTTACCCGTATCCGTAACGTCCTGTTATTACTTTTGAATTTATATGCTAACAAATGCTCATCCCTTCCTGAAATATCCGAATGGTAAGTCTGGTATTTTGCCACTTTTAATTTCTTTTGCTCTTTCCTCCAAAAACTCAGGGGGGTATTGCTCGTCATCAAATATTGGTTTCAACCTACGTGTACTCTGGTCGTATTCATAATAAATTCCATGAATCATCAAATTATCCAATTTAAAGAATATCATAGATAAATATTGCAAAATTGGCTTCAACTGATGAATAATGTATGTAGTAACTAGGTTATCAATATTCAACTTACTTTCTCCATTAATATCTTCCTTTATGTTGCATTTACAACTATTTTCCCCCCGATGAAAATGGTTGTGTAATGTATGAGGTTGCCCTTTATAAATTGGGTAATTTTTGTAATTAAATGTTGTCTGCTTTATAGGAATACATACTTCTCTGTCAGCCTGGAGTTTACCCAAAATGAACCCAATCAAAATATAGAAAGTAGCTTCATCATTCATTTCTTGAATCTCCGCATCTTCATTCAATGGGAAAAACAAATCACTTAACTTATCTAACACTAGAGAACAACCCCAACATTGACAGGTATGTAACAATGATTCGTAAAATGCCGGTTTGTAGTAAATAAAGGATGTTAAAAAGTCAGGTAGTTGTAAAGTTCTCAAATTAGAAATAATTCTCAGTTGGTTGGATGTGAAGAAGCAAAGAAAGAATGCTTCCATTAGTCTTTCATTTAGTTTATTTAATACTAAGCTGGACATGCCCATACCACTATCAAACATCTTAAATCCAGGAGTTGAAAAATCAATTGTCAACCTAGATAGGTTACTTAAAGTCTTAACAAAAACTCCTAATGGTGTTAGAATATTTTCTAAAATCTGATGAGGTCTTAGCCATTCTAGATTTGGAAACAACTCTAATTCAAAGCTTATCAAATTTGGTAAACCCCTTTTTGAAACCAGATAAGCTGCCAAATCTTTAAAGAACTTCGAAAAGCAATTACAATTATAATTTCTACGTTCAATGCAATCTATTTTCAAGTATAGGTGAGTAAGATAAGTCAAATTAATCTTATCCGAAATTACCTTAAACAGTAAGCTCTTGTCCAAACTTTGGACATAATTTTGATATTCTAAATCATGCTTGTTATTGTTGCTAATCGAGTTGAATACGTCATTTTCATCCGAAGTTATACTTTCATTATGACAATGAAAAACAGTTAATCCCTTTAACTTTAGTTTTGAATCTTCATCATCATTGTTCACTAGATGTATTTTTCTTAATATCTCTAAACCAAATTGGTTATTGGTACTGCAAGTTAACGTGAATATTGAATTGAAAACATCATAAGGTGGATTCAATAAATCAAATTTATCAATACTCATTAATTCAACCTCGTCTAACATAAGAAACAAATTTGTCAAGCCTTGAGGTACTACTGGCAAATATAGATCCTTATAGCTTGTCACAAATAATTTAAATATTTTATTTCTAATGTTTTCGTGACTTAAGAACTTCGTTAATTTTTCTATGCCTGTAACGAAGTCCACGAAAGTAATGTGTAAGAAATTCATTTCGTACGAATTCTTTCCAAAAAACTCAATTATCTCCGACTGTATAAGACTAAGGTCTTGTCCTTGCTTCAATAGGTTATCAGAATAACATTTATCGAAAACGAAGAATTTGACTTTCTGTATGAGGTATGGATTCACATGAAGTATTTTTATGAATGTTAACAATTTTTCTATAGATACGATTAACGCTGAGTCCATATACTTTATTCCATTTTCCCTGATAAACAGCTTTGAATTTTTGTTGTACCTTGTTGGATATTCTGCATTCAATATAACCGTAACTCGTTTGTATAACCTTTCGATAGCAATAGCATAAAAATCCGTACATGTCAGCAGTAAATTTACCAAATCAAATTGATCTACATGCTGAAATATTTCTGATACCAAGTTTGACGGCAACTTTTTCAATATTGAATCATTTGGTTGATTAGACTGCTTATTGCATAACCTACCATAATATGAATTTTGATATTGTCCCTGCGGTTCCAACGTCAATATAGGATACTTAATCGGAGATACCGTTACTACTGGATTTGAATGGCTTGTCATTCTTCATAACTGTAATCTCCTTATATATAGCTCGATTTCAGTGTAGTTAATAAAAAGACTTTGATCTAGTTGGGGCAATCTTAACTATGCTTACAATTAATTGAGGGTACACGACTCAATTTAGTAATGGCTGCAACTTCGGATAAAGCAAGTAAAAACTGAATAATTGCCAGTTATACGTGTTGTATATTTTAAACTACATAAAACAGAAAATATAAAGCTTACTATAACTTTGTACCTAAATTAACGTGGATAGCTTTAGCTTGGGTATACATAGATAAACCATATTCACCTAACTCTCTACCAACCCCACTCATTTTCACCCCACCAAAAGGAACATGACAGTCTGAATCATTAGAAGAATTTATCCAAACCATACCAGCCTGAATATCACTTGCCATTTCATGTGCCTTCGTTATATCCGAGGTAAATATTGCTGCTCCTAATCCATATTCCGTTTGGTTGGCGTATTTGATAGCTTCTTCGTCAGACGCAAATCTTCCGCAGGTTACAACTGGACCAAATATTTCTTCGTTGACAATTCTCATATCTGGTTTAACATCAGCAAAGATAGTTGGTCTAATGAAAAATCCTTTCGACATGTTTCCATCGGTATTTTTTTCACCACCTAAGACAACTCTAGCCCCTTCTTTCTTTCCGATATCAATATATGATAAAACTTTGTCAAACTGTTGTCTGGATACCTGTGGACCAACGATTGCATCTTTCTCGAACATATCACCCTGAATATATTCTTCTTTTACATGTTTAGCATATAATGTTATAAATTTCTCATAAACAGATTCGTGAACATAGATTCTGGAAGTTGACGTACAAATTTGGCCTTGGTTACTCATGATACCTATGGCTGCCCATTTAACAGCCTGGTCCAAATCAGCATCTTGTCTCACAATCAATGGAGATTTCCCGCCGCATTCTAAAGTCACAGCCTTTAAATTAGAAGAAGCCATTTGCTGAATCAACTTTCCAGTAGCAGTTGACCCAGTGAAAGCTATTTTATCGACATCTAAATGAGTAGCCAATGCCTTTCCACATGTTGCTCCATATCCAGATAAAATATTAACAACACCGGGTGGAAAGCCTACATCTTTGAAAATCTTTGCCAAATACAAAATGGATAAGGGGGTCACTTCGGACGATTTCAAAACCACGACATTACCAGCAGCCAATGCAGGAGCTAGTTTCCATGCAGCCATAGCCAAAGGATAGTTCCAAGGAATAATCTGCCCACACACTCCAAATGGCTCGTGGACTGTGTATGCCAACTTTTTTGGATCATTCTGGATCACCTTACCTTGAATTTTATCGGCCCATCCTGCAAAATACTTAAAACAATTGATACATTCGTCAATATCATACACGGCATTCTGTTCTTTTGTCTTTCCTGAATCCCAGGCCTCAATGGAACCAATTAAGTCTCTCTGTTCTAGTAAGACCTGTGCGAACTTATTGAGTAAATCTCCTCTCTCAACACCCGTAGTCTTTCTCCACACAGTATTGAATGCATTTCTAGCACACTTGACAGCAGAATCAACATCCTCTTCATCTGCTGCATAAACTGACCCATTGATTTCACCTGTTGAAGGGTTAATGGAATCAATTGTCTTACCTGATCTGCTTTTTACAAATTCATTGTTAATGAATAACCCTGAAGGTTGAACAAACTTATTGCCGTCAGGTAATGTAACATTGTATTCAAGTGGTAATGACATGATAGATAATTTGCTTTTAAAATAAACTATTTAATGAATTAAGCATCAATTGTATTATAGCGACTTCTTAGTGGTATTTATGTCCTCTTATCAAATACAGTACAATTTTTCATCTAAGCGGATGAAGCCCGTTTAGGGAATTAGATCCGAAGCAAAAGTTTGCGTCGTTATCAGCACTATTGGTCCAATTCTATGCTTAAAGAACACAGCTATAGTATAATACTAAACGAACTATCTATGGTGTTTACATAGTTTCTTTTAAATATAGTCATCGAAATTATGGATTCATTGATGGAGAAAGTAGTAAATCTACAAAAAACTGTAGTAGGTGACTACTATTCCGTATTATTATACGAGGTGTAAAAAATAGGCTATAAATGTAACAAATTACAAGGCAACAATCAATTTCGTAAACCAACACCGAAATTGAAGTTATGGATATGTAGTACCTCAAAGCTTTCTAATGACTCATAAATTGTTATTAAAAGGAAGGTAAAAAGTGCAGCTTTGAATATCGTGCCTCACCCATTAGGCTTTACAAAACAAACTGAATTAATACAATTCCGTTTTACAATCTAGTTGGCATTGAAAAGCAAAGATATATACAAGGATTAATTGAGCAATATGGACTTTTCTAACTTTTCTGACATCAGCCCAGCACACAACGAGTTCAGAAGTGATACATTTACTACCCCCACGCTATCTATGATATCATCACTAACGAAGGCTACTTTAGGGGATTCTGTTTATAACGAAGATGACTCTACAATTGAGTTAGAAAAGAAAGTTGCAGACATGACTGGGAAGGAGGCAGGCCTATTCTGTGTTAGTGGAACATTATCTAATCAGATCTGCTTGCGTGTTAATTTAAAGCAACCACCATATAGTATACTATGCGACTATAGGGCACATGTATACGTGCATGAAGCTGGGGGAATGGCAACATTATCTCAAGCAATGGCGCAACCCATTAAACCTAAAAATGGTATTTATTTGACTTTGGAAGACGACATTTTGCCAAACTTCATCCCGGATGATGGAGAAATTCATGGAGCTCCAACAAAGTTAATTTCTTTGGAGAATACTTTACATGGAATGCTTTTCCCCATTGAAGAGATTGCAAAGATATCAGAGTTTTGCAGTAATAATGACGTCAAGCTTCACTTGGATGGTGCTAGATTATGGAATGCATCTGCTGCCACAGGAATTTCTTTGAAAGAGTACTGTTCCTATTTCGACTCTGTTTCTTTATGTCTTTCGAAGACTTTGGGGGCGCCAATTGGAACAGTTTTAGTTGCGGATAAGGATTTTGTGAAGAAGGCCAATCACTTCAAGAAGCAAAATGGTGGGGGAATTAGGCAATCAGGTCTTTTGGCTACTATGGCTATAACTGCTATTGATGAAAACTTTGGAAAGCTACAAAGGACCCATGAAATGGCTCAAGAACTAGGAAATTTGTGTAAAGAAAACGGAATTGCATTAGAACATCCTGTTGAAACAAATTTTGTTTTTATTGACTTTCCTAAGAACAAAATGAGTTCTGATGTTTTAATTAAATTACTGAAAGAAAATGACATTAAACTATATGCTAGCAGGGTAGCTTTTCACTACCAGATATCTGACGAAAGTTTTGAAAAATGCAAAAGAGTGGTGTTAGAATGTTATAAGGATGCACAAAAAAACCCTTACACTGGTAAATCATATTCTGCCTATTACCTGTCTAAATGAAGTTTAATCAAATAGGGCAATAATATTTTCTAGATGCATCTGGTACCTTGTAGTCTATAATTTAATAATTATGTATTAACCTAATTTCATATCTTAACTGCGAAATAAATAGCATCCAAATTGTACTTGAGAAAACGAGCAAATGTTTACTCTATTTCGATGGCTATCAAACATAACAAAATATTGCTGGAATTTGAAAGGCTTACGGTAACTTCTAATCATATTAAAGAACATCATGTATTATTGTTTACTACTAATATTACCACAACGGAGTTGGTTGATTATTTAAATGATGATTTTTACTTCGAGACGAGCTTGAGACTTTTAAATTTAAAGGATCAATTAACAGTAAGATGTCAGAAGAATGTAGATAATCGAAATAAGCAATTAATTAGTAGATTGTTTTTTAAGTTGGTTTTGAATTACATTATCTATATATATGATGCAAATGGTGAATTTCAACCGTGGAAGGACTTGAATTTTTCGTACAATGAATTTGGGAAACCATACTTAATGCAGCAAGAATTGTATAAATTCCAATTTAACTCGAGTTCGTCAAATGATATATTGAGTATAGTTGTTGAGTTGAATGCGCCAGGGCCTATCGGAATTGATTTATCTCATTCAAGACAAGCAATATCGTCAACAAATTTTCTTGAAGAATTTAAACCAATATTTGATCCAACAGAGATACAACAGTTGCTTGAAATTAAAAACGTTTCATTTAGATATATAATATTCAACCAATTATGGACTCTAAAAGAGGCTTTCACCAAATTGTTGGGTAGTGGATTGAATATTGATCTATCAAAGTTCTGCTTTTTCTTGAATAAGTCGATGATTGATGATAACACCATTTGCAGTTGTGATAGCGACTCCCTAGTTTCGAAGTTCGAAATAGATTGGAAAAGAGATATAGACGTGAGTGTATGTAAATTATTTGATGAGAAAAATCCATTTCTACTTGAATTGTCATCTCGAGATTTCAATTGTTATTCAGGGGTATTGGCTAATTCTACGAGTGAAAAGTTACCAGTAATTGTGTCAGTTATAAACCAGCACTACTATAGAGATGACAAATCATTTTCAAAAAACTTCAATGTCAATTTCTTCGAAGTCTTATCTGATATTTAATTTTGTCGGTAATTTTCGACTACAGATTCTAACTAAACAAATAATATATTGCATACTTATACAAATATAGTAACAAAGTCATAGAACATAAATAATATGGGGCTAAAATACTTAGATTAATAAACCACCAACAACAACAGCAGCAGCAACGAAACCGTAACCTGCGGCATGGCTTAAACCAACGGCAGCACTGTCAGCGCTAGAACTGGAGTCTGAGCTGGAAGAGGAGTCTGAAGATCCTGAAGATCCAGATCCTGCACTAGATCCTGAGGAAGAAGAATCGTCAGAAGATGAAGATCCGGAGGATCCTGATGATCCTGAAGATCCTGAAGATTCGGAAGCGGATCCGGAAGATTCAGATGAAGATCCAGCTCCAGATGATCCTGAAGAACTTGAGTCATCAGAAGATGAAGAAGCATCTGAGGAGCTAGATGAGTCGGACTCACTGGAGTCTGAGGAAGATTCGGCTCTGGCAACTAACTTTGCTACATCAGGAACAGCGAATTTAGCGTTGACTGATGCGGCAACAGTTAAAAGGACGGCTAAGGTTGAGGCTCTCATTATTAAGTAGTTTTTGGTGTTATAAATTCAATGCTACAAATAAGTTTGATTTTAATTTTAGTTGATAATTCAGTTCCTATTTATACCATTTGGTTTCCATGCGTAGCTGGTTCACATATATCCCCAATGTTGCTATTTCCAGTGATAAATACCAGTTTAAAACTAATATACCGAACAACCGCCCTGAACCACACATTAGCAACATTAGTTTATTGTTAGAAATTCCTAGTCCACAACTCAAGATTAACTAATGGCTTAGACAAACAGGTCTTTGATAATGCACTTTCGGTAAACCTTATAACCAAGCCATAAACAACGTGTTTATGCTCAATTGGTAAGATAATATAGACACTATAACAGAATAAATCAGAATGAAATGGTTAGTATGCAACCAAGAGCACGTTTCCTGCTCATGTTTTTATGTATTCGTAGTTTTTCGCAACCTATTTTCATCCGCGTGGGTGCATTTGTTCATATATAGTATCGCAACCCCTAAACGTGAGTTTTTGGCACCCATATAACCTTGATGACACAATGACAGCACTATTATTCTAATATAGTAATTTTTTTTAATAATAATCAAGTTTCAGCCGCAGTGGCATGCTATCAGTGTTCCAAATGTTGGATTAAGGTGATACCAGTTCGACCAGCAACGTAATAGACTCTATAGTTAATACCGAAACATTTCTGGCAATAAAGTCATTACTACTTAGCGTCAAGGAATGAAATATCGCTCTATACGAGCACTGACCCCACGGCAGCAATAATGCCACCCACCAAGCCAAGGTGATTGACGTTGATATAATGCGCTTCACCAGTAGAAGTGACATCTCCTGACTTCTGGATAAACGAAGTCAATATTGACGAGGATTGAGTTGAAGACAGTGACAGATTCGAACGAAAAGTAACATTGGAAGATGAGTTAGTACTATAGCCCATCACTAACGTAATAGCCGGAAGTATGCAAAATGTATTTAAAAGCTTCATTGAAAACGTGACTTGAATTGACAAAGATTAAAAGCAGCTACTAATGACGATATATTCACCTTATTGGAAACAATTGTATTAGTAAAGAGAATGTAGACATATATCACACTACTAGTTGCCAAATTATATCTCTTATATTTATATAAGTCCAAATATCTAAGCCATTACAAAGGTCTCATGAGCCATGTATTTGTACTACGTTGAGGCTGTAAGTAAATCGGCTTTGAACTAAAATAACATAGCCAATATTAGATATACGTTTTTCTTTCACGTAGAAAATACCAATTTTGAAATCCCAGAATGCCGACATATACCGAAAGAGGTTAATTAGCGATAGCCTTGTGTATATCTAGCCAGGCTTTTTAGTAAAAATTATTGCAAAATGGCTTACAATTCTGTCGCGGTTAGTGCACCACTTTTTAGAATCTTGTCGAAAATGGCCTATCTTTCTGAACAGAACTTACTAGCAAAGAATTAATATGAATATCATAGAAGATGGAGGGATAGGTCCTTTATTGGTTGAAAAGCATGAGAAATATTTTCGCCTATGTATGCAATCGTTGCCATCTAAAGCACAATCAGAAGATTCAAATCGATTATCGATAATATATTTTTGTTTACATGGATTGGACATACTAGGTAAATTAGACTTGACTGAAATTGAAAAGAAAGATTATGCTGCACATGTGTATGCACATCAGATTGTAGATCCATCGGGAGAAATTCAATCGTTCAGACCGAGCCAAACATTCAAACTAACTACCAGAGAAAAGAATTATGACTTGCCCAACTTATCCGCTACATTTTTTGCATTGGTCAATTTATTAGCTTTAGAATCGGACTATTCCAAGGAGCTAGATAGGCACAAAATAATGAAATTTGTAAGCAAATGTCAGGTTACTAGTGGGCCAAATAAGGGAGCATTTAAGCCTGTTTTAGATAAAAACAGTGATCCATTTGGCGAAATTGACTTGAGGCATTGTTATATTGCGGCTGGTATTAGGAAACTATGTAAATATGATGAATTACCGGTAAGCGATAGGATAAATGACATTAATGAGCAAGATTTAATTAGTTTTGTCCTAAAGCAGGTTAACTTTAATGGTGGCTTTAGTTCAAATAAATTCACAGAATCACATTCGGGATTAACCTTCTGTGGTATTGCTACTTTAAGATTGTTGGAATATGACTTTACCAAACACGCTCTGTGGGTTGATATAACCAGGAATTGGCTTGTACATAGACAAGTTGATTACTCATCTCCAGTGTATAAAGAACTTTCTTATGCATACTGGGTGGAAGAAGATACAGGTGGCTTCAACGGGAGAGAAAATAAATTCAGTGATACTTGTTATTCATGGTGGTGCTCAGCTAGTTTGAAACTATTGGATTCTAACGGATTACATCTAATTAACACCAAACAATCGATTCAATATTTATTGAATGAAACTCAGAACTCATTATTGGGTGGTTTTGGAAAAGATTGCGAATCATTTCCTGACCCTTTTCATTCATTCCTTGGATTATCTTCGTTATCATTATATAAATCCTTTCAGAAGTATAATTATAGGGGAGAGGAATGTATACAGGAGATCGACGAAGCATTAGTCATTACTAAAAGACTGAGAGAGTTCTTCAACTCCCATATTCAATTCTAGTATACTCTGGTAATAAAATAGCATATCCTGTATATAGTTGGCTTAGTGAAAAGTAGCATAATATCAATCAACGAACTTATTTCTATTCCTATTACTCTAGACATCTTTACAATTAGATATAGAAACAATTAGAACATCTGTATACTTTTTTTGTTGATTAGAAGGGTATAATAGTATTCATTTTTTTCTCGAATAATATTCAAGTGACTTCATTGACCTCGTCGAACCCACAAGTAAATTAAATTTACGTTCGATCCTTGCACAGATTCCAGTTTGTTCCAATCCCAATATAACGTCTACAACCTTTCCTAATGGTTTCCGATGTTTCCGAAGTATCAGATGCTTCACCGGAAGCTCCACAACAGCAATTGCCCCCAAAGACTTCGACACATTTAATATCGGGAGCAGTTGCTGGATTAATATCTGCCATTTCGTTGCAACCATTTGATTTGTTAAAAACGAGACTACAACAGCAACAGCGGTCTAATTTGAAATATAGGACAACTATATCTAAAGAATTAAAAAAGTTGACTCATATCAAGGACTTGTGGAGAGGTGCTTTGCCTTCTACTTTGAGGACATCTGTTGGAGCCGGCCTTTATTTCACAATATTGTCATCTGCTAGAAGTGGAATATCAAACTATAAGGTGGGTTCAGATAATGTATCAGATACAAGTGTATTGCCCAAATTGTCCCCGGTCGAAAATTTGGCTACTGGTTTTATTGTTAGAGCCATAGTAGGTATTATTACCATGCCCATAACGATAGTTAAGACAAGATATGAATCCAACATATATAACTACAATTCTATGTACGAGGGTTTTGAAAATATTTATCTAGATGGTAATCAAAAAGGTAAAGGATCGTTGAAGAATTTCTTCAAGGGTTCACTCGCTACTTTAGCCAGAGATTGTCCGTACGCTGGCTTGTATGTTTTATTCTACGAGTCTTTCAAGAATGATATCTTGACGAAGATAGTGCCTCCAATAAATGAAAACGAAAATGGCCCCATTACAAGGTCAACCATTATAAATACCAGTGCTGCTATCTTAGCGGCCTCGGTATCTACCACCATTACCGCTCCGTTCGATGCTATAAAAACAAGACTTCAATTGTCTTCTATTGTAGCTTCCAAGAAGATGACTTTATGGTCTGCCACTAAAGATTTAATGAGAGAAGAAGGTGGTGTCAAGAACCTTTTTAGAGGTTTGTCGTTAAGATTTGGAAGAAAGGGTCTTTCATCTGGTATAAGTTGGTGCATTTATGAAGAATTAATTAAATCTAATTTTGCCCAAGTTATTATAACCAAATCTGACAAAAAACTTGTATAATTCCTTGTATATATTGATTCTATAATTTATAAGCATACCAGCTATTCATCCTGTGCGCTTACAGTAACAAATATGAAGCCTCGGAACCTTTTTTTAATGAGTCGCACCCCCCGCTCATATTAATGACTTCAAAAATTCAGTTCTAAAGATTATCAACGTATAACTCTAATATATTGTTTCTTAATAAGGGTGATGAACAACGAATTAATTAACAGTGCAGTCAGCTTTTTAAAAGATGCTAATGTGTCATCTTCTCCTTTGAACAAAAAAATTGAGTTTTTGGAATCAAAAGGGCTTAATGAACAAGAAATCGAGGAAGCGTTGAAGCGAGCTAATGGACAAAGTTCCTCAAACCAACAAACAGGTAATCAACAACAAGTGACGCAACCACCACATCAACAATCATTACAATCTCAGCCACCTATTGATTATTACAATGTAGCAGCGCCTCAGGTTCCAGAAAGAACATGGCAAGATTACTTTATCATGGCTACGGCTACAGCTGGGGTAACTTATGGGTTGTATCAAGTTGTTTCAAAATATTTGATACCAAGCATTATTCCACCTACACAGAAATCGATAGATGATGATAAGGCCAAGATTGATGAAGAATTTATTAAGATAGACAAGTTATTAGAGCAGATGTCTATGGAACAGAACGAGATTAAGGAATCGAACGAATCAAAATTAAAAGAAATTGATATTGTCATTGAAAATGTCAATGATTTCCTTTCTAAATACAACAAGGACAAGTTGAAATTTGATGATGATTTGCGGTTGATGAAATTAGAAATAGACAATTTGAAAAACAGCATTGAAAAGAATATGCTGCTGACGAAAGAAAATATCCGAGACGAGTTGAAAGATATTGCCGAAGAATTGACGTCTTTGAAGCAATTGATTAAGGTAAGAGCTGAAAAGTCTGCCTCGAGCGATGCTACCGGACCATCAAGAAAAATTGCCCCTGTATCCTCAATCCCGTCTGCGTCGGAGATCTTAAAGAAAGCGAAAGCAGCAAGCTCTAATGGTGCCAATAAACCTAATGCATCCAATAGTACACATACAGCTGAATATGTATCTGCAAGCTCTGCTCCATCTCCTGATAGTACTGCAGGTGAGCCTTCTAAAGCTTCGACGTCCCCTAAGGGCGTATTTGCATCTGGTATACCTGAATGGCAATTAAAGCATAAACAGCAAGAAGAAGAGGAAGAGAAAAAGAAACAGAATGAAAACGAAGATAACTTACCGCCTAATTCGGAGTATAAACCGCATACTGATCCGGGCACCAATGATAATGTTGTTAAAACTAGTCTTGCAAACGTAGGTGTTCCTTCTTGGCAATTAAATTCCAATACTAATTCTGGTTCTAAGTCAGAATCAAATCCACCAGACAATATTCCTTCATGGCAATCCAATGCTTCTGTCTAAGTATAGCTTCTCTGTCTAATATTATAGTTATATTTGATATATATACTTTACATTCTCACGTGTAGATTCTTAATACCGAAAGATTTGGCGCGTTGAAAAATCGACAATAATTTATACTCAGTAAATTCTTTCTTTCTCTTTAAAAAAATAGAACCAATTAAGTACTATAGCAAGATTAAGATAGTAAGTCTTGTTGAACTGCATAACTATTGATATTACTCTCGTTTAATTCTGTTCATTTATTTTCTTTTTACTTTTGTTTTGCTTTATTTTCTTTTCACAACACTTTTTGTTCACATTATCTTTTTACAGCATTTTCAAGTTCTTTTTTCAGTTTGATTCAATTTGGATTTGGTCAGTTTGATTTATTGTGTGGTTATAACTAAAACGTATAGAATAGGCTTTTCTAAGGGAAAAGGTTTTTGGGTATTTGCATTTTTGTCTTTTTGTCCATTTTAAAGGTTTTCATTTGAACGAGAGTCCAATAGTAAAAAATAGTGCATTACATGTCGTCATCTACAGCGATAAGGTCCAGTACGGCTTCCGGTTATACTAAGAGAAAATTGGAATTGGTTCCTTTCAATAGTCAATTAGAAGTTATTGATAGGGCTATTTTAGATGATTCCAAAAAGCTGTTGAACTCAAATCAATATGCCAACGTTCATCGCTCTGGTTACAATAATAATAATGGTAATAATACCAGTCATTCACATAATCAAAATCTGCAAAATAAATATGCATTAGCTGCTGTAGCCGCTGCTGCTGCTGTTCAACAACAACAGCAAAATTATATGCTTCAGCAACAACAGCAACAACAACAACAGCAACAGCAACAACAACAGCAGCAACTGCAATATAAAGATATCAATCCATATATGTTCCATACTCAGATGGGATTCAACAAAGATCAAGGTGAATTATCCTCGTCCTCGTCATTGTTGTCAGAAAATAATGCTCCATTACCATATGATTTTCAGAATTTCATAACATCAAACGGAAGTAACAATTCAGTCACCCCTACATCTGCGCCACTCCGTCAGCTGTCAGCTATTGAGTTGCAAACTCCGTCGCTCCAATCACATATCCAACCTCAAATCCAAAACCTATCTCAACCTCCAATGCCTGGTTTTATTTTTGATCCTATGGCTGATAATAGCAAAATTAAACCCAACTCACCAACTTCATTGGGACCACAAACTACTGCAGATTCTAGTAAGGCTAGTAACAATTCCCCACCAAGATTATTTTTGTCCACTTCAAATTCAGGAGCAAGTGTGGTAAATTCGGCTAATTCCAATAATCCTGTCACAACTAATTTCTTAGAGTCACCATCCTTATTACCAAGTGTTAACAATATTTCAAACAACTGGGCAACTAATGGCCCTAATAGCTCTAATACTAATGCTATTAATCATTCTTCAATTTGGGGTGCCAATCCTTCTACTATGGCACCTTCAAATTTAGGAAATCTAGACTCAAAGTCTGAAAGTAAAATTTCAATTCAAAATAATTTTGGTGGTTCAATGTGGTGATAATAATTTGATTCTTTTCTATGTAACTAATTCTTTGTGTGCTAGATTTATGAGCTACATCTTTTCGTCCATATGTCGTTGGTTTTGTTTTTGTTTTTGTTTTTGCTTTTTGCTTTTATATGTAAATGCTGGTGTTGACTGTTTTGATTGAAATATTCTTACAATTTCAAATTTATTGCTTTGATATAGAGGTTTTGTTTATAGGATTATATATGTTTTAATATTTACTCGTATGATAAAATAAGCCAAAATTTTTCGAGAGCGCTCTCAAAATATTTGAAAGATTACAAGATTAGTTTAACAAATCAAATAGATAAAAAAGCGTTATGACTTCTCTGACAGCACCCATATCACTTCATAGCCTTGTAAAGCTTTGCTGTAAGAGAAAATCAACTAGCAAAGTTTTTGTTTCGTTGTACTACCAATTGGAGGAAAAATCGACTATTCAAAGTAATGATTATTTGTTGAACTTATTACAATCTGATCCAAAGATTAAGTCTAAAAAAGAAAGCAACTTGATAAGAGAATATGCCTTGGCGTTAGCAATATCTTCTGAAAGCCTGTTAGAGAGATTCTGGAAATTTTTACCTGAACTACTTTTGGAAAATCAAACGCAATACTTAATCGATTTAAACAATATTTTGCTAGGAAAGTCAAATATAGAAAGACCTTCAAGTGATATCTTTAAAGAAATTTTTAATAATTATTTTTTCAAGTATACTTCCAATTATGTGTCAAGTTTGACTCAAAGCAGTTCTGCTGCTCAACTTTCTTTGTTAATTCATATAATAGTGGTATGGTGCTCAGTAATTAAAAAGGCACCTTTTCACTTAGACACAAGTTCTTTCAAACAATTAGCCATAAACATTGTGTCGTATTTGACTGAATTTAACTTACAAAAACTGTTGAATTATTTTATGTCAAATGCTTCTTCCATATTGAATGCAGATGACTTGCAAGTTGATCTGATTCAAAATTCAGACAATACAAAAAATTCAGCAGTTAGAAGTACCACCACGACACAATTAGTCAATAATATATCCTCAATAAACCCAAAATCTAGAAAAGCAACTCAATTAAACATTATCAAAAGATATCTATGGTTAAACTCTATTATGAAGAATTGGAAATTTAGCAACGAAGTATTCTTGAAACAATTTGAGCAAAATTTCTTGCCACATTCTCTGCACAATTTAAAAAAGCCTTATACTCTTGCGTTTGAATTAATAAGTGCCTTATTCAGAGGGATTGTTGTTTCGATTCGCTCCAATGAATCGAAATACGTTTTGTTTAACTGGAAAAATTTTATTATCACCAGGCTTCCCAGTTTATTAAATAACGTTAAATTTACACCGCTGCATATTACTACTGGGTCAGAGGATTCCAGCTTTAAACAGGACACTTTGGAAGATGCAATTACAAATGCATTTAAGTCCTTTGAAGAACCGATCAACAAAGCTTTAACCCAATTTAGCATGGATAGTTTGTCTACATGTGACCTTCGTCTGGCATTTATAAAGAGTTGTATATATAACAAACTCATTCTGGCCAGTTATTATCACAAAATATTCGAAGCTGACAATGCAGTAACAATTCAAGGCTTGAATAATGGTATTAATCAAATTAATCAAATAACATCAATAAGAGATGAGTTCGAAAAAAGATTATTGCAGATTAACACTGAGTTCACAACTTTGGAAGATTCTGGGCTAATTGAATACATAAATTCCTTACCGGGGTTACTAGAGTTCCTGGAAAGTAAGCAATTGGAACTAAGCGAAACAATCAATCAGGTAATTGAGCA